TGCTGTATCAACACAAGCTCCAACCGATGCTGCTGTATCAACACAAGCTCCAACTGATGCTGCTGAATCAACACAAGCTCCAACTGATGCTGCTGAATCAACACTAGCTCCAACTGATGCTGCAGTATCAACACAAGCTCCAACTGATGTTGATGAGTCAACACAAGCTCCAACTGATGCTGCTGAATCAACACAGGCTCCAACTGATACTGCTGAATCAACACAAGCTCCAACTGACACTACTGAATCAACACAACCTCCAACTGATGCTGCTGAATCAACACAAGCTCCTACTGAAGTTGCCGTATCAACGCCAGGTGTAACTGATGTTATGTCAACAAGTGGTAAGTATCTGTATTGTGTGTTTTGTTGTTTTGAATTACTGTGTAGTGAATATAAGTTGTGACTGATAAGTTATTCTATTTGGCGGTTGTCTTGTACTTCAAGTGAATTATATTTTCTGACCAAGTATCGTGGTGGTAATGTTTTTAAGTATCGAGATGAAGTATAGCCAAAGGTGTGCTCAGTATGAAAAGTTATGATAAAAACTTAAACAATTTTTTATTCGGATGGTGTCGGATACCTACAGTACTGTATAACGCAATGTGTTAGAATTTGTAGTCTGATTTGATTTTTGGATTTAACCTTCGATATTTATAGGCACTGTTGCCCCGACACGTATAGGAGGTTTTGGTTGAGCAACACCTTCGATTCCAGGTTACTGTAGTTTGATTTTCTAAGTTCCTTTCCCCTGTATTTTGGATATGTGTTTTAAATGCATTTAACTGTTGGTTTATTAATGGCTAGCCATGGCAACCGGTCATGCTATGCTAATAAACCTGCACCAAAATAGTTTAAAGACAATACATTTATGTAGGTTTGATTAAGACAAGTGTTTAAAAAAGTAATTTCCATGGTCAGCTACGCCAATGATTAATGGTACTGAGGTACCATTCGTGTACCCCTCCTAATCAGCAACACGAGTACTCTCAGGTGTGTACTGCTCTCTTCCCCCTCTCGGTTGTTTAAAATTTAGACAGTTATTCACGTGCAGAAATTACCAATACGCCTTGCATTTTCTGAGTTTTCTTTCATTTTAAAATCCTTTTTTGTATTGGCCATTGGGGGTGTAATGTATTTTTTGTAAACATGTATTACTGTATAAAAAATGAAATAAAATAAAATAAAAAAAATGCAATGCAATGCAATGCAATGCAATGCAATGCAATGAAACGAAACGAACTGAAGTGAAGTAAAGTGACGTGAAGTAAAATGCATGTTGTGCTGCGTTTATGCCATGTCACTGCAGAAGTCGTGAATAAGGGACTGTAATTATTCAATCTCGCCATTCTCGATTATGCGTAGGTGGTTCAAGATTTGTCAATTTTTCTCTCTTAGTTAATTGTGTATTTATATTTTTGTGCATTGTTGTGATCTCACTTTTTTCTTTAATTGTTGTTTTGTAGGGCCTACAGAACTTTATTACATCAATTTAAAAGTTGTAAATAACTATGGTTATGATGTCGATGTGCGAACTAACACAGATATCATTCAGGACTATATAGTTCCAAATGGTGAAGACCGTCATATTCAAGAGATAACCGAAACAGCAGGATATTTCGTGATACGCATTTATGATCGTCGTGATGGAATTCTTATTCTACATAATGGTGAAAGCTATGTAAAGATTACTCCAAAAACCTCGCCACAGTATGAGTACAATATTGTGCTGGGACCAGGTATGATATGAATTATTAATTACGGTGGAGGCTTAGTTCTTTTTTCAACCTGCATAAAATTCAGAATTGAATACCGGTGAATATTCACCGAGACGAAGCCGAGGTGAATATTCACTGTAATCACTGAGTCTGAAGCGAATAATTGTTTTAGTATAAATGAAACAAAACGAATGAAACAAAATATACAATTATCAGTTTAATTAGCCATTTCCCAAAGTCCTGGGCCTAGTCGCGCAAATCCCATGTTGGAGTGACAAGAAATTGGCAGCATATATTTAAATCAAAAGTTTAATGTAAAAAAGGAAATATTTCATTTGTGATCGTCTAGAAAGTTTATATTTGAAAGCAGACACTTTTACTCTTTCACATATTTGACGCCTGTCACCATATATTTTGTTCCTCCAAACGATCCCAGAATGCACTGTGACCTCTTTTGGGAAAGGGCTAATTAAAATTCAGAAATAAAACTGTGCTCGGCCGGTTCACGGTTACAGTTTTAGTGTTGCAGTGTTTCTTGTACGCACTCGCTTTCAAAATGGCTTCATGTGTGACTTTATTGCTTTTCTATTGCAAAGTTGTTTTCTCGATTTCTGCTTAGTATATAAACACAATGATGGAATGACCTTTTCACCAGATTTAAAATTAAACAAGAATTTCTGTTTAGCATTAATTTGTTCAGGAAATGGCTGAGAAAATTGGTAAAATGAAATGTAAAACTATTGCTCGAAATAAGGTTTTAATGCACTTTTCACTTTACAAGTTTCAAAAACACAACACAGCGCCGACAGGACATCATACAGCACAATAAAAACATGACATGTCAAAAGAAAAAGTGTCGTACAAATTGAGATATCTACAGGATACGAAACAAAATGGTTTTAAAAGAATATCACGGCGAGGTTTTTCCCAAAAATTTTTCCCAAACATATTCACAGACAATTTAAAACTTATTTAAAACTCCAAAACATTCACTTGAAACAAATAGTAAAATAGGTACGCTTGCGTACATGTGGTTAGCCTATAGGATTGGCAATTGTGATAGCTTCATATAGCTGATTTCGTTCAAAATAAGTAAATTAATTGCTCGTTTGCAATCGAGGCCATCTTGGTTGATTTTTCAACCATTGAACCATAACCATAATACAGCAACATTTTTAAAAACAAAGCAGAAAATATTAAATAACTCTACTCTTTCGTCGTAAACGGCTAAAATAAAATTTTAAAGCTCTTTCTCGCTCAGTCCCGAGCATCGTAGGTCGCTAAAAGTGCCAACCTTTGGATGTTCATATCTTGAGTTCAGTGCATGCTATGAAGACAATACCACCACCATACGATTCAATGAAACAAAAACAAATAGTTCCTTACAATAGTTTTAGTCATTATCAAAATTGTAGCGATTTATTGCCTCTCAAAGGCAAACAAGATTGTATATTATCAAATTACTCGATAAACATACAGACTGGCCATACCTTTCGCTGAACATAAGTTCGGCCACGCCACAGGGGTAATGTGACCTTTAGAATCGGTTTCCGTGTGGTTTCCGACGTTTCCCGAGTGCTAGGAAAGCATTGTTTCGACAATCAATTTGTATTATACAATTACTTTATGGTTTCCGTGTTTGGATGGCCTGATCCAAACACGCGGGAATGTTGCGAGAGTTAAGAAAAGCGAGCGAAACACGAGCCGAAGGCGAGTGATTTTGCCCGCTTTTCTTAACTCGAGCAACATTCCCAAGTGTTTGGATCAGGCCATCCAAACACGGAAACCATAAAGTAATTGTTTTATAAAATAATAACAACACAATAGTCTTCCGTGTTTGGATGGCCTGATCCAAACACGGGTTTCGACCAATCAGAACACGCGTTATATACATGTTATTTTATAATTCCGGTTGAAGCTCTCACTAAATATTTAGATATTCTGAAATACCGAAATAAAAGATGCAAATCTGTAAATACAAGCTTGAAAATAACACTCTGAATAGTGTTTTGGATTCTGATTCGAACAAGACTATTACGAAAAAAGATATGTTGAAAGGGGTCGAAGTTCTGTTCGGCGAAAGGTTATGCCATGGTAATACACTAATACATTCATATTTGTTTGCATTGTGTGAAATATGCTATCGCAAAAACATCTTGCTTCTCAACCACAGAACAATTAGCCTACGGCGTAGACCCCAGCAGAGACACGTTTTGTGAGGGGTCTACGAATAAACGAAGAAAAGCTTGCCCGGCCTACGTGATATCCGTTTTACGTTTTGGGTAAATTAACTTCAATTTATTCAAATTTTTGAAGCAGTGAAGCGTGCGTAAATGTAAATTTTCATTTGGCGCTTATTAAAACGTTCCATGACGGGCTTTGTGCAATACAAATGTGTTCTTTACTTCAATGGCCTGTCGGATAAAAGCGATATTAATTTCGTGGACAGCAAGAAGACTGTACGTAAGTCGTAAGGAGTTGGACGACCTTTCCTTTAACGGTTTAATATGTGAGCTAGAACCTAGACAATACGATAACGAAGGTACACGAAACAGAATTAAACGCTATTGGTGTACCGCTTAAAGTACAGCGAAATGTCGTAGGGAAACTGGAGCCGACATGCGATAATGCTTTTATGCTGGCTACATTTAGTGTGAAATCGACTTTGTCTTCGGCTTCAGAAATTGGATGTCTTGACAAGCTTCAAGCCTTCAACTGCTTAATTAACAGTTTGTACGAATCATAAGAACTTTTTAGTTCGTTCGGACATGTGTTTTATATATATATATATATATATATATATATATATATATATATATATATATATATATATATATATATATATATATATATATATATATATATATATATGGTCATTCACAGTATATGAGCTGTTCTGCAATCTGATTGGTTGATTTATTCGCCGTATATCAGCTCATATACGGCGAGTAGCGAAAAACAAGATGGCGGTCCAAAAAACACGCGCTAGACTATATTAAACGGTCATGTTATGATTTTGTTTGTGCTTAAATTTTGCAATAATTAAATTTGCACTAAAATATATTGAAAATCATTGTAAGCCTGTTTATACAGTGTGTATCAAAATAATTCGAATCCAAATTTGGCGTGTAATAACGCAGAATATGTTTGACAAATTCGGTTGGTTTCTACACCATTGTTAAGTTCATTTATTTACTTTTCAAATGACATGCTGGACGCGTCATTTAGTTGGTAAATGAAGGAGTATTGCTTTGACAAAAAAAGTCCATAAAAATCACAATTTTCCGCCGATGGGAATTGGACATTTTTTCTTTCAAAGTTAGTCCCACAAGGCTTTGAAATGCTAATCATCACTGAAAACTAAATGCAAATTTAACGCGAATTTCTTCTCGTTCAACATGTTGACATAGGAGCTTAAATCTCTTTAAATGAACACGAATTTATGTAAATTTTGCTACATAACAGTTTGTTGATTAATTAAATTTGCATTATCTTTTGTTTGTACGTCTCACTTCGAATTCCCATCGGCGGAAAAATTTGATTTCGAGCAACCAGTTTTAACACACGATTTCTTGGTCATTTTTGATCTTATTGATATAAGAACGATATAATCGGAAACCTAATAGACTATTCTTTATTGCCATATAAAAATTATATGGTTTACTTTAGTATTTTATAAACAGCAGTCTGTCAAATTTGGATTCGAATTATTTTGATACACACTGTATAGCAGCTTAACATCAGGAAGCATGACAGAATCGAATCAGCAATAACTAAAACTCCGCACTAATACCCCTAAACGCAAGCAATTGAAATCTGAAAAATACATAGCCTTGATCAAACGAGAACGCAAGCCATGATAGCAAGTTTTAAGTTTCACTTGCTTGTGCCTCGTTTGACCATTAACTTGCGTTAACTTGCGTTGATTTGCGATGACTTGCGAATGATTGGAACTCGATCAGAGTTCAAACTTTGTCGGAAGCTTTTTTATACTTGCGAGCATGCACTTTGGATACGTTTGATCAATAAGGGCAAGTTCAAGGAAGCTTTTTAATCCAGTTTCCATGGAAACCAAAGGAATGGCCATTGTCCCTAGTCCCCCTGCTCTCTCACAATGTTGTAAAAATGATCTTTTCTTGTCTTTGCAAGGTTGAGACATTTCGTGTTCATCAAGTAGAGAAAATAGCACAATGATACACGAAGATTAATGATTAATTTTAGATGATTAATTTTACATGGCATTTTCAAACGTATTTACATTCGTTTTAATAAAATTGGTTAAATGACTGCTATGTTTTGTTTACATTTTTGCAACTTCTCAAAATTACAAAATTATCCGCACCCGGGCCAAATATTGCAAATTGTTGCGATAACTTGCGTATCGTTTGATACTTTGATCGGTCCCATCGCAATTCAGGGCAAGTTAGGGGCTGTTTACATGAGAAGCAGGATGGGACATTTGCCGGGACGATTTATACATCCCGGGTTTAGGAGCTGTTTTCATGATATATGCCGCTTTGCCGGGACGAGATGTAAGGCGGGATGATTTTGACGTATTGAAATAAGTCACGGTGCACAATTTAACAAAATCACATCATTTTATAGTGATAGATTATAGTATAATTGTAAAGGAAAGGTTGTTGAAGCAGCAATAATGATCTTCTAGCTTGAACTACGAGATATTCTCTAACAACATTTGAGTTTCTTTAACTGGTGCTTGAACGTTCGTTTAAGCCCACTCATTTATTTCAATACACCAAAATCATCCCGCTTTCCATCCCGGCAACAAGTGTTTACTTGAGAAAACTTCCCGGCTGAGGCGGGATCCCACTTGCCGGGGAAGCGATAAAAACGTCCCGCTTCCATTTAAACATCTGGTGATAAATATAATAGAAATTTATACAAGCTGGGATCCTGTTCATCATCCCGTCCCAGCAAACGGCCCATCCCGCCTCTCATATGGCAGCTCTTAAAACACGTTTACTTGCGAAGACTTGCGTTCTCGTTTGATCAGGGCTTAA